AAAAAAAAAAAAATCTGTGGATGATATTACCAGTGTGTCAAACACAGGGTGAATAATAAAGAAATGTTTCCATTGACAGAAATATTTCTCCAGGATCTGCTTGCTTGGGACAAAAGGAAAAATAAATTTTCACTCTAGCTTCAATCATGGAATGCTCCCACCATATGTTCTTAGTGAACATAGCAACATTTGAAACAACTTTCTTCTGACTGGGTGTCTAGATGCTCATTTCAAAGGAAATTTCCTGATTTATTGGATGTGGGTAAGGTTGAGACTCAGCATTTGTTCAGATGTACGTGAACAAAGACCTTCATGAATTACACCCATGACATGCTTGTTTATAGCTGCCCTAAATGTCTGAATGTACTTAGCCCTGTAGATACTACAAGGTAAATGTGGCTCTGTTATGAAACATCCAAATGTGTGTTCTCAGTAAATTGAGAGACATACTCTTCTGCCTGCAAATTTTCCTGCACAATTCTAGAATGTGCTTTCTCTCTCCCAGCTACTTTCTTAGACCATGAAACAATGTTGATTACCTTTATAGGACTCTGTCTCTTTGGAGTTCTGGGAATTGATCATCAGCTGAAGAAAATCCACCTGATGCATGAAGATAAAAGAAAATATTAAAAGACAGACCAAATCTAAAATTAATAGTAAGTCAGGACTTAACCTGCCTTATTTCCTTAGAGATCTTTCAAGTCCTTGGCTGAGGTTGCCATCATTCTGTAAATCTTGGGGAGCATGATTTTACTCTGTGTGAAAACCAGCTATTGTGTCCAATAGTGCATTGTATCTGCTCTCCCCAATTATGAGCTTCTCTATTTTTCTGAACATAGCTTCTTGGTCAGAAATTTGCCTGTTCCTCCTATCAGATCTACTTGCTGAGGATGCAATCCCACATTTCAAAACTTCAAACGGTCCTGCTGTAATTTTTCGCCAGTGGTTCCATAGATTAATCCACTGCTATATACTGATCCCAGAGGCAGAGACATCCATCTTGAAGTACTAAGCCATTTTTTAATACTGTACAATTCTCAGGTGAACCTGATATATATGCAGGTATGCTTTTCTGAACTTGAGGCTCTCAGGCCACAGAAAAACTAAGGTGAATTTCTCAGCTTACTACCCCCAAACCCAGCTGAAAACTTTGACTACTACAGGCCAGAAAATGTACAAATTTAACACCTGCGAAGCTTCAGTGGTAATAGTTTCCACTGGGCAATGTGTTTTACAAGTGGAGTAGATTTGAAAGAATTATTTTCCAATATAATATCTTGGGATTATAGCACCAGTAAATATCATATGTAATCATTAACATTTTTCCCCCAAAGTTTGTTGAAACCAAGAGGGAAATGCTTATTTTCAGAGCATGTCTGTTAGCGGGCACTAATTCTTATATTTTCTTTTCTATGTTACACTGTTTCTCTGACTCCCTATCAACACAATTTACTAAATTTCGTGTTCTTCACACCCACACACACAAAATTGCCTGTTATTTGCATTTACCTTCAAAAACAAAAGAAGGCAGTACACCAATCTTAAACATACAGCCTACAATATAATCAAATGTCAACATGCTTATTTTACCATTTCCACATTTTACCTTCTGCTGTATGGGCAAGCGATTTTTCCTTATTCTTCTTACAAAGTTTATGAAAAATTGTTTAGATTCTTTTGCAAACACAGACAAATTTAACATCTCAAATATTGGGACACAGAAAGAAAAGAGAACTGAAAGACAAAGAAAAAAATAATGAAAATCTAAAATGTGCTTTCTTCACTAAGTATTCTGGAGTCAACCAAAGAATAAAAGGCTTTAGTGTCACCAGAAGCCATTTCTTCTGTGACTTTTGCTTGAGATACTCCAAGACACTTATTCACCTGGAATACATAACACAGTGTCACTATCATACTAAGAATAGTTTCCCTTTCTATAACTTTAGAGAGATCAAAAATGGCTGATAATTTTCTGAATTTTTATCCTACTGTGAACTGTGATAGGCTTTTTGGATAAACAAGACCATAATCTGGTGATGTAAAAATGCATGTGTTGTTCAACAGAGATTGCTAAGAATAGAACCAATAGTATACATATTCCACAACCATGTACCTTGGAAGGAAGCCATAGGTCCAGAACAGATATAACATATTGAAACTCACAAATATTTACAAAGCCACTTATGCAAAGTAAACCTTCCAACATAAGTAGTGGGTGAAAGAAGAATTCTAATAATTTACAGTATAGTAAATGTGGAGAAAGTAAGAGATTCTAAGCATGGATAGAGGACTTTTGAGAGAGGCAATGAAATGGTAAGCAAAAAGGATCGAAGTGAAATTTTCAACATAAAATTTGTTAATAAAAATCTGAAGTTATAAAAATAAAGAATTTATGGGCTGCTTGTCATGACATGCCACTTGCTGCTAAGTCTCTCGGGTAGATGGTTGTTCAAAAAGAAGGGGGTGGTGAATGAAA